TTTAAAGCTCACAAAAAAAGCACATAGCTTGAGATCATCATTAAATTCATTCCACAGTTTGCGCATCAAAAAGCCTTGATGGAAACACGGTTACTGATAGGCAGAGTTAGTGTGTGGGCGGGGTTTGTCCTAACCCTGATTGGTCAGATTGACTTGTCTTGTTGGGCAACTTAAAAGAGGAAATGGTATTAGTAAAATAATATAATTTATTGACTGTCCGTGTAGTTTAAAGCAGAACAATAGCTTAAATAAAAGTTAGTGTGAACATGTTAACATAAATTATTGACTTTAAATACCATGCGGCAAGCACCTTCCTGTTTCGAGTTAAGACTAATATTAAGTCATACTCATTTTTAGCTATCTTTTACAGGCTGGTTAGGGATGTTTTGACAGAGTCAAATTTATTTCACATCTCTCCACATGTATGGCGTTCACTCCTATCATGACTAAAATTAATATCTATATTAAAAAATATACGTGCTTCCAGGTGGTTCCTGGCCAATTTGACCAAACTACTACCCGCTTCCTCCAGTTTCCTCAAACCCCACTGTCAATCTGACCAATATTGAGTTGGGCAAACTCCTCCCACAAAATAAGAAACTCTTATGGTACGTTCACACCAAATGCGTTTTGAGCGACAGGAGCGGCCGATTTACATGCAGTCTTTGAGGATGCGCCTCTAGAGGTCGTGCGTCGCGTCACGTACGTTTTGGGCGGCGCGCAAGGAAGGCGGAAGGGGCGCAGAGCGTTTTCCGCGCACGCTGTGCTGCGGAAGCCGCCGCCGCCCGAGCCTTCTGATATAGCCATAACATGTGCTTGTGTCTGAGCAAGTATTACTTTGAATTTATCCAGTTTAGGTACAAGACTTCTCATATTTAAATGACAGATTTAAGGTAGATGATATTTACCAAAGTGAGGATAAGTTATGGTCCATGCTTGTATACACGCCATAGGACACTTGTGTGCTGTTGTTTTTTGAAAATGATGTCCGTCATTTGCGTCTTTGATCTTCCGTTTATGTAGCATACAGAGTAACAGCAACACTAAAGCTGAGGTAAATTTGGTCAAAAACAGACCTGCAGATGCCTGTAAAGCCAAATGGGATGTATTTTCCTGCAGCGATAATGCACAGCTACATACATCTGCCGCCACCGCTGCCATCTTGTGAACTCGATGGTCCGACTGTCAGGGTGATGGTGAAAATGGCTAGTGTTACAAACAGGAAAAGACATTGTCTGCATCACCAGGTTTGGTTGGTCCCGTCTCTCGTTGAGCAAAGCGAGTTGAAGCTGAGTGTTCAGTTAACTATTAGCTTACTTTAACTTTTCTATCAATTCAAGCTCGTGTGAGAACCAGTGTGTTACTTTAGTTACAGTTTGTGACGAATGGCAACAAGTAGAGAGTCCAGCCTGGATGACTGGAGGAGAAGGCCTGAATCCCGAGGAGCCATGAGAGGAGGTGCCCTCAGGATGAAGGGTAGAGGCAGGAACAGACAGGAACAGAGCACGGAGCCAGAAGTAAGACGCGTGCTGGGATTTAAATATTCTGGAAGGCGGAGCTTCCAGGTTAGGTAATCCAGCCACAGGGTTTAACCATTGGGTTTAACCAGTAAGCATGCCGAGGTGTGTTTTTCTCAACTAAATAAAGAGACTGGCAAGATTAAGATTAAACATCTTTGTATAGTCATTAAAGGAGGAGTTTACTTTGGCAAAGCTTTTTGCCTCAAAGAAATAGAATAAAAGAATTTAATCTTATGAATCTTATGATTCAMTGGATATAAAAGTTCTTCAAGACAAGACAAACTTTAGCTGTTTAACTTACCTAAACAGCAGATTGCAGAACAATTATCCTAAAATAATTTTTATATCTTTACATATTAATATTAAAGTCCTAAATTTTCTAAATTTGCTAAGATATATGTAAACAAGAAAACATTACATAGATAATGAAAACAGCTGTTAAATCCTGAAATAAAGCACATCTTGGTTAGGGCTGTAGCGACTAATCTCACGATATGATATATATCACGGTATTCAGCAAATGATACGATACGATTTGATTTTCTGAATGATTTTAGACCCCTTTTTTAAATAGGGGGACCACCACCCCGGTCTGCCAATCCAGAGGAACTGCCCCCGATGTCCACACAATATTGTAGAGTCACGTCAACAAACACAACACCACAACATCCAGAGTCTTAAGGATCTCAGGACGAATCTCATCCACCTTGCCACTGGGGAGCTTTTAACCACCTCAGTGACTTCAGCACCAGAGATTAGAGTCTGACCCAGGGTCCCCAGGCTCTGCTTCCTCATGGGAAGACATGTCGGTGGGATTGAGGAGGTCTTCAAAGTATTCTGCCCACCGACCCACAATGTTCCGAGTTGAGGTCATCAGCGCACCATCCCAACCATAAACAGTGTTGGTGGTGAACTGCTTTCCCCCCTGAGATGCCGGATTGTGGACCAGAATTGCCTCGAAGCCGTATGGAAGTCTTTTTCCATGGCCTCTCCAAACTCCTCCCATGCCCAAGTTTTTGCTTCAGTGACCACCCGAGCAGCAATCTGCTTGGACTGCCGATACCTATCAGCTGCTTTCGGAGTCCCACAGGCCAAAAAAGACCCAATAGGACTCCTTCTTCAGCCTGACGGCATCTCTCACCACCGGTGTCCACCTGTGTGTTCGAGGGTTGCCTCCACGACAGGCACCAACAACCTTGGGGCCACAGCTCAGGTAAGACGCTGCAACAAAGGAGGTATGGAGCATGGCTCACTCAGACTCAATGTCCCCCACCTCCCCTGGAACATTTTCAAAGTTCTCCCAGAGGTGTGAGTTGAAGCTCCGTCTGACAGGAGACTCTGACGGATGTTCCCAGCAGACCCTCACTATACGTTTGYGTCTGCCAGGTCCGACCGGCATCTTCTCCCACCATCCGAGCCAACTCACCACCAGGTAGTGGTCAGTTGACAGCTCCGCCCCTCTCTTCACCCGAGTGTCCAAGACATGCGGCCACAGATCAGATGAAACAACAACAAAGTCGATCATTGAACTGCAGCCTAGGGTGTCCTGGTGTCAAGAGCACATATGGACTCCCTTATGTTTGAACATGGTGTTCGTTTTGGACAGTCCATGACAAGCACAGAAGTCCAATAACAAAACACCACTCGGGTTCAGACCAGGCAGGGTCAGCGTTCCTCCCAACCACACCTCTCCAGGTCTCACTGTCATTACCCACATGAGCAATGAAGTCCCCCATGAAGTCCCCCCAGCAGAACGAGGGAGTCCCCGTTAGGAGCGCTCTCCAACACCCCCTCCAATCTGAGCTGCTGTTAGGCTCATAGGCACAAACAACAGTCAGGACCCGTCCCCCCACGCGTAGGGGGAGGAAGACCACCTTCTCATTCACCGGGGTGAACTCCAACGAACAGGCACCGAGATGGGGGGCAATAAGTATGCCCACTCTTGCTCGGCGCTTCTCAGCATGGGCAACTCCAGAGTGGAAGAGTGTCCAACCCCTCTCGAGGAGACTGGTTCTAGAGCCAGAGCGGTGCGTCAAGGTGAGTCCAACTATATCTAGTCGGAACCTCTCAACCTCACACACCAGCTCAGGCTCCTTCCCCACCAGAGAGGTGACATTCCGAGTCCCTAGAGCCAGCTTCTGTAGCCGAGGATCGGACCGCCAAGGTCCTCGCCTTCGACCACTGCCCAACACACATTGCACCCGACCCCCACTCCCACAGGTGGTGAGCCCATGAGAAGTGGGACCCACGTCTCCTCTTCGGGCTGTGCCTGACAGGGCTCCATGGGTGAAAGCCTGGCCACCAGGCGCTCGTCAACGTGCCCCATCTCCAGGCCTGGTTCCAGAGTGGGGCCCCGGTGACCCACGTCCGGGCGAGAGAAAACTGAATCCATTTACATGTATGTTACTCGTCATAGGGGTCTTTGGGCTGCACTTTGTCTGATCCCTCACCTAGGTCCTGTTTGCTGTGGGTGGACCTACCAACAGAGCTCCTAGGATCATTGGGACACTCAAGCCTCTCCACCACCATAAAGTGGCAGACCAGGGAGAGGGAGAAGTCTAGACTATTTTTTGATAACCTAAATGCGTAATTACAGATRTTTTTGTGCTATGGTTAATCTGTGATTAATTGTGCACAGAACAGAGTGTACCTAAAAAAAGACAGGTAAGTTAATGCACGCCTATCACTAAAACAACAGTCAAACACATAATTTTTCCCATCAGATTGTAGATTGTTGTACAAAGGGTCACTGAAGAAGGGAAGGCTTTCCTACATTGAGATGGCGGTTAGTGGCTCAAATTGTAGTAAGTTTCTTACAGACAAAACTGTATGAAACTCTTTAAGTGACCTTCTGCTTTATTAGATGAACACTAAAAACACGTCCGATATCCATTTCCTCTTTTCTCCTTTAGAGTTCCCCACTGATGCCACTGCACCGCAGTGTTCACCCCTTTGGTATTCTTTTTGTTTTTATGCCTTACAATCTGAAGTTTAAAAAGATTATCAATAAAAGCAACCACTACACAACTACTACACAAAATATGCTCCAGAGTATGGCAGTTATTGGTTTAAATATTAGTATGTATTGGACAGATGGACCATGCAGATGCAGAGATCATGATCATGAAGATTTTTTTTATCTCTTTTTTTGTTTTTCATACAAAACCTTTTGTATCTAAATGGTACTTGTGTTAGTTTAAAGCTACAACACCATCCACCAGCTGTTTCTAATGCAACAAAACAGAATCATGAATACTTTTCCAACTTCATGTAAGTCAAATGTAAAGAAGCCAAATACTCTTTGTCAATGACTGACGTAGTTATTCCATCTGCCGACAGAAACTCAGATTATTTTGCGTTAAAACAAACATAAATGTAATCTAATCTGTATGAAGCCACATTAATTCTGTCTCTAAACCACTCATTTACTTGATTTGTTCCTAATTTTTCCTTCCTTCTTCCTCCTTTTGCTCTCATCTTTTCATCACAGAGAATATATATTTGGCAGTGCTGTTTTTGTTTCGATTTACATTTTTTTCCCTAATTTTCCTCCCTCTCTCCCTTTTGCCCTCTCCTAATCTCAGGATACAAAGGTAACTCAAGCCAAAGATCTAAAAAAGGCTTTTCTGTCCCAAAATACAACTTTCTTTCTGTTAACTTTCATTTCTAATTCAGTCCAGTTTTTTTTCCAGTTCGTTATGTTTTTTTTTGTTTGTTTTGACATTTGAGTTTTTCTCAGTGCTGTTGATCTTGTTCATGTACAGTCTTACTGTCTTTTTATTCTGCTTCTGCATTTTTGGTTTTGTTTTCATCATGACTGTTTTGCTGCTGATCCTTGCACAAAAAAACAAGATTGCAAAAAACTGCATACAGTAAACACACACATACGTAGAAAAGCACCCGTATGTCATCATAAACTGTAGATGTTTTTGTTGTGCCTTATGTCAGTGTGTGAATTCAGCCAGCTGACAACTGTCTGTCTTTCTGTCTGTAGCTGTGTTTCCATTGCAAATGTGCGCAAAACTTTGTCGATATTCTGTTAATGTCGAAAAACACAGTTTCACAACTGCGGTATTTCCATTAAGTAAGAAATGCTATTAAAGTCACGTGAATACGTTTGTTCTCATGATAAGTCATTACAAACATGGCGGCGATGGATGTAAACACATAGCATGTTGCTACCACGACACTAGCGCTCATCATCAGAGGAGACGTCGGCGTCTTTTATCGAGTCTTTCCAGAGACAAGTCCCTACTTGGGAGCGGCTACGTATGCTGTGTTTTTGGGAAATTGTAGTCGGTGAGTTTACTATTTTATACTACTTCTGTGATATTACTACTACTTCTACTTCCTGTTTATCTTCTTCATCATTGTCTTTTTCGCCAGTAGAAACAGCCGGTTGTTGATCATGTGACTCCCGTGATGCGAAAAAAGTATTTGCATTGCAGTTTTGTGACAAACACCAATTTCGATACGGCTGAAAAACCACCTCATCCTAGCGCAAAAACYTTTTGTTGAAAAACATTATTTTTTTTAAAGTGACGTGTTTCTATTGAGCAAATTTATTTTCGAAATTCTAATTTGCGCATTTTCATGGTCAATGGAAACGCAGCTTGTCTGTCTGTCTGTCTCGTTTCCCTCCAGCCTTAGTTTTATATTTTATACCTGAGTTTTTATACTCAGCTTATTTCTGTCCACCTCCCTGTCAGTTTCACTCTCTGTGACTGTGGAAAGCCAAACTGAGGCATAAATTGGAGTTTTTGGAGGCGTGCATTAAAGGCCAGCCTGTCCTCCCTGAACTTTCTGATCTTCCTGCCTACCTGTTGTGTTTTCACATGGACTTTAAACAAGTCTTTGTTTTTCTTTTCTTTTGTTTGGCTATAAAAACAGCACAAACAAATTCTTTCATTTGTAAAGTTGGGAAAACAAAGACAGATTTCTAGTTACCGTTATAGATCGTTTTATTTTTTTTTTTATCAAGAGTTTGAAAGAATTCTTTATTTATATTTAAGGAACCAAAGAAAAAGAAAAAAACTTTATTCTGATTGTATAAATAAAAGAAAAATTGTCTTAGACCGTGGCGTGTTAGGGTGACTTAGAAGAGACATTTTGAGATTAAAGTAACACTTTGAATACATTTTATTGACTGAAAAATGTTGAAAAGAAATGCTGTTTTTATGGTGTAAACCAGAAGACATGAACCCTTCTTCTGAACTGGACTGCACTGGTTGTTTTAGTTAATCTTATTATGTCTGAGGGGTTTGGGTCACTTTTTCTGGGTTTAACTACAAAATAACATGCAGTTTATATCTATCCTTCACAATAAAAGTCTCAAACACAAACACTGACTGCTGACCTCATAAACTGTTAAACATCTGCAGCTTGTGAACATAGCTTACATTATTGTTCGTTAGTACAAAGGTTACAGCAGACTGAAATTGTTTCAGAGTTTTACCCAGTAAAAGTTTCCCAAAACTCCCAGATACAATAATAATAAATAATGTGGAGTTTAAGGTTGTCTGTATTCATCTCTGTGTTTTAGGACTTTGCACCTTAGGAGGAATGATTGCAGTTTGGTTTCGAAGAGAATTTGTGATCAAGAAATGGAAGTCTGAGTGATACAACAGAAAACCAGTTGAATCTCTTCTAAAAACTTTATTCCAGTCTGTCACTCCAATCAGCTCCACAACAGTACACATGTCTCTTCTTGGTTACACACCTGAAGGTGGTACATTTTCAGATGGTAACGTAACCAACTTTGTTATGAAGACAGAACAATTATCATGTTTCCATCCAGTTGTAGAGTGAATTTTTATCGAACTTTTCAAAATTCGCAAAAAATTAAATAAAAAAATTCGAATCCAGACTGTTTCCATCTAGTTTCCCTCTCGACTGTTTGATGCGAATAAACGAGGCTACGCAATGCGTGATTACGTCAGACGAGGCTACGCAACACGTAATTACGTCAGACGAGGCTACGCAATGCGTGATTACGTCAGATGAGGCTACGCAACGCGTGATTACGTCAGACATTGGCGACAAGCTTTGCGATAGTGAACAGGAAGTGAAACTTGCTAACTAGCATAGGCTAGTCATCTCAGGACAATGGAGCGATTTTTTCGTGAATGCCTTGCTTTTGGGCAAGTTGTAATTATTCTATCTATTCAGCTAGTACAGGCTATGTTTAATGCTGCCAGGAGACGTAGGGAAATAAACGCAATGTTAAACTATGCCGCAGAAAGGCACGTGCAACTACGCCAGGCTCCATACACATGGGAGAGCAGGAAAGCGGAAACAGCTGAACGTCACGTGAGGTAAATATTCGCTACGTCAGAATTTATTTGGCAAACGTGTTTCCATCTCCCGTTTTGCGCATTAACTACTTTGTGAATCATCCAAAATCCACCTCAAGTGAGCGTAAAAACTTTTTAGCGAATTGGGGATTTTTTTTTTCGAATTTTGCTGTTTCCATCCGACTTTTTTTGCATTTTTAATGCGACACTTCTAAATGCGCATCAAAAAGCCTTGATGGAAACGCATTTAATGATAAGACACACCAACTCTCGTTCTGTTTTAAACCATATGGCTACAATAATCAGAATGTATAAAAAACTGGATCTAACATTTAGTCAATGAGTTACAAACTTTCCTTCAGTTTTACTGCACACAATCCCAACTCTGAGGTTGCAGCAGCTCGGTGGTCCTGTAATCCTGAGGCTGCAGGTTGGAGCCCAGAATGTGTCAGGAAGGACATCCAGTGTGAAAAACTTTCAGACACGTTTGCACACTATTGTGACTCCTGAAAGAAAAACAACCTACAATCACAGATGTCTTTCTTTAAATGTTGTATGTGTCGACCCCATCTACACTACTCCAGGTTAGGTTTTAATCCAACAGTGTTTCCTGTTTATAAAAAGAAGTGAACAATTCTACGTTATTCTAACAGAACTGTAAAAACTCAAACTGCTGCTGTGTGGCGACAACGTTCACTTTATTGTGGGACAGGATTCCCTGTCAAAACGCAGAATGAATGCTGAGTCATCAATCTGCTAAAGAAGCTGGAACTGAGTTCCTACAGAAAAACACAAGATGAAACAAACAGATTGTAAAATGCTGGCTAAAAGTTGAAAGWTGAAAAAGCTAGCAAAAAGTAACAAAACAAATGTAAAAGGAAGAAGACAAAAACTGAGTCAGGAGTACATTTTAAAGATGTATTTTAAGGGACTGATACGATGTCCAAAAGATTTGTGATGAAACTATTGTAAATAAAAGTAAATATTTTGAAAACTACTCATTAAAAAAAACAAAAGTTATAGTACCCATCTCCTGAATGAGCCAAATGTTTTGATATATGACAGATTAAAAGATTTCAAAGTATGCAGAAGTAGATAAACCAGGGGTGGGCAACCCTGGTCCTGGGGGGCCGCAGCCCTACATGTTTTACATGTTTTACATGTTTTACATGTTTCCTGCTCCAACACACCTGATTCAGTCACTGAACTACCTCTTCATGTTCTGCAGTATGGAGGACCGACACTGACATAATTAGAAATAAAAGCTGAAATAGATAAATGAACCTTTAAATAAATAAATGAATACATTTAAAA